CTTTCCCCTGCCAGAAAAAGCGCACAACAGTAGAATCTTCCGACCCTTCCGCTCCCTTTGGCTTCCACGCATTTGCGAAGCACGCGCTGCACGTGAAACGTCCCTCGTTCCGCGATGTCACCCCAACAGAAAAGGGGGTGACATTGCTGCGTCGTCAACTGTCACAATAACCATGCAAACACGAAGAGGTCGACTCCACCAGTGAAATTCTACCGATTCCCAAACCGATGGTACGAAACAAGCAGACGACAGAAATGGATTAAAGCAGTGCACCGAAAAAAGTATGTAAACAATTTTTTTTCATAAAAATTAGCACGCGCACAATGCATTCAAAATTACGGGTGTTAATTCCTGCGTCACCGTTCCTCTAATCTATCAAGTTACTGGGAGATGCACGTCCCCATCTTAAAAGTATAAATTTTCAACACCCGTCTTTAGAGCACTGTTAAAAAATAGCGAAGAAATATTTTATGCTGCTACTATTATTCGATATTGTTGGGGATGTAGTAGTTGAAGCTGCGTGCACATGTGGTATTGGTAATGTGTTATATATTTTTAAATCGACGCAGCGCCGACGGAAGTGTGTGGTTGCCAAAAGCTTAGACAACTATGAAAAAAAGAAAAAAATGCATTAGCCGTTGTTGCACGTCCGTTGGCAGATACAGCGAACTAGTTGTTACTGAGTGTGCAGGGGCAGCCCGAACAACACGGTGCATTTTTGATACGTGACCAAGATAAAATGCCTTTATAGCAATGCACTCTTCCCCTGCAGATTAGACACACACAAAAAAGTTTCTCTGAAAGCTGGGCGCTCATCATGATGGTACGCACGCTGTTCGTGAACTCAAGGTACCCGCGATGAGAACGGTGATAATACAAGGAAAGACACGCAAGATAGATGTCAATTTCCGTTGTGGGTCAGAAAGAAGCCCCAAACAGACCGTTTATTTTTGAAGTGCTGTGTATATACCGCACGATAACTTGGGTGGGTGCTAGTAAATTAAGGTATCCCAACTAATAGCAGTCACAGCGCAAGAACCGCTTAACCTAAAGCACGAGAAGCGGCCTTACCTATGCATCCAGTAACAAACATAGTGCATAGTACACAGAGTAAACCAAATAAAACAGGTATATAATTATGAACGTACAGAAAGTTTTATTCACCTCTAACGTCGTAAACAGCGTCGTCTTTCACTTGCGAAACGCACTTCGCTCTGACGAGGACGGCGTCGTCTGCTACAACTTGCTTCGCTGCTCTTTTACCAAATTGCTGCCACGAAAAAAAAAAATCCTCAATTGCGGCATCCTATTAAATGCGGACAGAGTGCATACATCATAACCGCGCGCGACGCGAGACTCTCAAAAACACGTGCAGAACGGGTGCAGCGTGCAAGCAAGGCAACGCGTTTTCAAGCAGGTTGAATGAGACAGCGGAGAGGCCAACACTCGAGTAACCAGTTTTCTTCCCACATTGCCCCGCCACGGTGGTCTAGTGGCTAAGGTACTCGGCTGCTGACCCGCAGGTCGCGGGTTCGAATCCCGGCTGTGGCGGCTGCATTTTTGATAGAGGCGGAAATGTTGTAGGCCCGTGTACTCAGATTTGGGTGCACGTTAAAGAACCCCAGGTGGTCGAAATTTCCGGAGCCCTCCACTACGGCATCTCTCATAATCATATGGTGGTTTTGGGACGTTAAACTCCACATATCAATCAATCAATCAATCAATTCTTCCCACATTGACTGACAGCGCCACGCTCCGCAGCACCTCCCTCGGCGTGGGTCTCCTCTATAAATAATATTTAGGGTTCGTTGCATCAGAGATCGAGCCTATTTTGCCAGTCATCTATCAGGTTATTGCTAATAAAGGGCCAAATACAGGTTTGCGAACATTAGGGTGTGTACATATACTAGTGTACTTACTGTGCACTCGAGTCTGATAGTTTTATTGGTAGTTAGAGTTAACTAATTATTAGTAGCTACCAAGTATGCTCATGTAAGGTTTTGGAAGTGGTACTTATGCTAGACTAAACTGTGCAACATAATCAGCTCATTTTGGCTAATTGGACTAATTATTCTAAGCTACATGACGAAGCTGCTACTGCACCTAAGTCGATCGACCAATCGATACCCAATGTATGCTCTTGATAAGCTAGAGGCCAAAACTTAGTTTGAGAAATCACTGAATGGTTAGTGGACGTGCCACCAGATTCGTACAGATTCAGTGCGCATTACTGAAAAGAATGCGTTTCTGATCTTGAAGGACAGGCCCTGAATATTGTTCCACATCGCCTTCCTATATTTGAAAGAGCTGAAGCTTGAAATACATCTTTAGCTACAAAGCTTTACTATGTATTGCAACCTATTCATTGTGCTCGATCTTACAGTGTTCTCATCTGAAATTCGCAACTTTAGTGTGGTCTTCGACTTTTTAACCAACGAGACGGGACAACTTAGTCAGCCCAGTGTGAGAGAGGGAGGACTTAGGGCTGGGATTAGTTCATTTACCTATATCTATGGCAAATAGTTTCACATTTGTGCTTTTTTTGCAGCAGTTTTTGTCTAATAATTCAATCATTCTTGCAGATTACATGTTAATGCTTACCTGACCTGATCGTTTCTTCAGAATTATCTCTGCACCCGTGCTTGTGGGGAATCATGTAAGAAGTTTTGATCGCTATTCAATTCTCAAAATCAGATTTTCCACGAAATACTTATACACAGTATCACGCAGAAAACTCTGAGAATTCGCTATTCATGCATTTTCCACCTCCACTTTACCACTTAATATATTCCGACCTTCCTCGGCATGTACTAAAATGAGTCCGGAAAATGTACATTTCTCCTGATACAAAAACCTTCTTTTAAAAACTCCATACAGATTCACTGCTGCTAAAACCATGGATGCAAAAGGAAGGTATTTTTGTGTCTTCAGGTAACTTTCATTTCTGCAATGCACCAGAGACAAGAGAACTCAGCTTTATTAGCTGCAAAGATGCCATTGTGTATTGAGACACCCTTTAATGAACCATGAAAAAAGATTTGATCATGAATTCAAATACTATATAATAGTTTCTACCAAAATTTATTGATAAAGTGCCCTTTGATTTGTTCTTTCTTATCAACCTACACAGTCTGTGGAAAACCCACATGCAAGACCGTAATGCAGAACCAATGAATGCTTCAATTGTGCATTTCATGCATATAGATCTCCACCTGAACAACATTTACGAAGAACTTGACTTGAAACCAGACTGGCACCCCATCTTACCAACCTTTTGAAGAGCCTTTCCTCGCTTGTGGACATGCTATGTAGGTATACATGTATAGAAGCCTTTGAATGCTTGTGCAGCACTTATGCGATTATTGTCACCGAGTGAAAAAAATTCATAGCCCAATTCTCTGTCCTTTATGGCAGAGTGCGGTACACCTGGTTGAATATCTCCACATTAATTTAGAACATGCTCTGCCATTTCTTTATTGTTTCCACAGCATTATTATTATTGTTTCTTTACTGAATCTTGCCTTATAAGGACACATTCTAAGGCAATCCAATCTCTCTTCAAACAGTAAAGTGCATGGCCTTGAATTTTCATAAAAATGCTTCCCTCCGTATTTCGTTTTTGCTCTTTCAGTAGTTACACAAAGCCAGTTTTTTCTGCAATACTTCAGGGGAGGAAACCCTCCCCACCTGTCTTGACCTCTCGATTAAAGGCCAATCAAGTGGAGACTGAGTCTCCAAATGTAAGCCCCAAAACCATTATACCTTTCAACTGGCCAGGACTTGTCCACTGAATTCTTAAGGCTGTACGTCTTTTTCGAGGCCTCCAGTTACGTAGCAAATTTTGCAAGAAAAATGCTAAAAGGGCCTTCATTTGTGTGGTCTTCAATTGGAAATATAAGGCGCACCCTGTGTCCTACGCAAGTATGTCACTTCTTCACTGGAAAGTACAGTAGACGTCCCCAACAGACAACAGCTTTCGCTGTGTGCGAGTTTCGAATGCCGAATGCTTCATGCTATTCGCTTTGCTATGCACACTTGTCTTCTTCAGGAGCATTGGTGCTGTAGTCTCAAATGTAGAATAGCAGAGGTCTCCTTAATTGCCACGTGCAAAGCAAGGAACTTAGGCCGATATTACTCAAATTTTGATATAACGAAATATTGCTTATAATCAAGTAAACAAAGAATATTCTTGCAATAAACAGTGTGTTATGAATACACCCTAATAATGAATTTTTAAAAACAGCAAACTTATTTTCGTCAATGATGCACTTTGGGTTGATTGCACTTTGAGCATTTACACACGCTTGCATACAGCCACACAAATGACAGGATACAATTACTCATGACAGAGATTTTGCACAAAATAGATTTCTGCTCCAATAGCTCACAATAATTCTCATGTTACGAGCAAGTGCATTGACAACTACTACTATTTCAAACCATATTTAAGACATTTTCAAGCTATTACAATTCGGCTTTTAGCAAATATTTTGTCCTGGGCACCTTTGGCCCAGGTAACACACGACTGCAGTACAATGATTAATGTAATTTAACACCAATAAATTTTATCTTGCTGAAATTGAAATGTTTATAATCAAGTAACTCGACTGCGGCTACGTAATATAATAATGTTCATATGCATCCAGACTGATGTTCATTTTCATTGACTGTAGGCGGACAAAATATGTTTTCACTGGAACATCACATGTACAGTCGTGCTCAATTCGAGTTGTGACATGCTGTCGGAACTAAAAATGGCACCAACACTGCAGAGTGGGACCTACATAGAAAAAAGTTTGTCAACTCTATAATTAGCAATACTTTTTCAACCAATTTAACATTTTTAAGTGTCATTGTTCAGGCTTGGAGTCGCTTCTACCACAGCCAGCACTTATAAACTCTTATCGAATGCGACTGGAGCTAGACACACACACACTTGCACTTACACAGACAGTCTAACCACTGTATGCATAAGCAAGCATACTTTCATTTGCTGCTCAAACATAGTAAAAAAAACTTTATCATACATTTTCTTTACAGTTCTCACTACTACAAGCCTTGTCATAACCACGATGTATCACTTCATCTCATTTGAGTCACAGCTGAAATGAGACAGAACAAAAGCAAGAGAAGATTAACAATGCAGGCACCATTAATTGTCAGATTATTCGTGAACTGACTTTCATTGTAAACACTGCACTGCTACACACACAAAAAAATTTCAATCTGTTGAGGGAGCTACCACAAACAAGTGAGCCAGATGCCTTTTGGCACTAGTCTTGGGTCATCGCATGATTTTAGCCATTTTGGAAACCATCTCAAATGTAATAAAGAAAACTGATTTATTGCAAAGAAAACCGTGAATTGGCAGAACATTTCTGAGATAAACAGTTTTTATTGCCATGCAAGAGCTTTCTATACGTCTCCCATTGATCGCAACGGGGAACTTTCTGAGATAAACAGTTTTTATCGCCATGTAAGAGCTTTCTATGTTTCCCATTGATCGAAACAGAGAAATTCAATGCACAAACAAGAAAATAGCTATCACAGACAGCACAGCACCTGTTCAGCGTGCACTGTCAAAGTTGCAGTAACACGCAACACAGCGGCTTTGTTGACTGTGGCTGCGTGACAGTGCCCGTGTTGTTTGCGACATTGTTTGTCCTCCTCTCATGAATTTGTGCTGCTACACAAAGATTACGTGCAAACCACTAGCCTACCAGAGCCTCCTATGCACTACGTTTGCTTATTTGCAATGCCTGCACCGTTGCGGTGGTGTAGTGGTTATGGCGCTCGACTTTTGTCCCAGTGCTTTGTAATATGTGGCTCCTTATGGTCCTCATCTTCAACGTATATGTCTGCTGGTGCCTTGCACTTTTAGCAGCCTCAAAAATATCAACACATGGGCATTTTCTATGATAAAACTGGCACATCCAATAAAACCTGGAATTCATGATTTCCAAAAAGAGATGATGCACATTTGTCTTAAGTAGATATCTCTAAATGCGTACAACAATGATGAGCACATGAAACAATGTGACCGTACTGCATGCACCACTTTCACTGGCAAGTAAATAGTGTGGAACATGCTGCAACTGCAAGTGTGTGCAAACACATGACGCAATCAGCATAGCTGTAGGTGAAACTGTTTAAGCCGGCCATACAACCTTCAGAGTATGCAAAAAAGTCCTCGGAGAACCTCAAAGTGCTTCGCAATCGCTAATTCCACAGCTGCACTACCTCTGCTCCACAAAACTGGCACACGTTTGTTTGTAGCCAGGATACCAAGTCACATACCCACTCTCGGGGATTGGCCAAGAAAACATGTAGTAGTAGTCTATGGATGGTAACTGCCCTATTGCTTACCAACAAAAAGAATGTAAAAGAAAAAAATTACAAAAATAAAAAAGCGAGAAACAAAAAACAAAAAATAAGCACTAATACAATAGCGATAATCTGATTTTCTAGAGCTCTGCACTGTGGCGTCCCTCATAAGCATATACCATGGTTTTGGGGCATGAATTCACCGATAGGATTAAACTGTCATTGACTCATTCCAATACAAATGTTTTGAGGCTGCTTGGACTACCCAAAAAGATCCAAATGGCAGTTCGTTTTGCCTAGAGCACAGCTTTGTTGTCACGAGATTTAGGCAGACAACCTAAAGGTTTTTTGCTGCCTGGTAAAGGGCCCCACATTTGGTAGAGGAGGACAAACCGGGCCTGACCTGTCTCACATGGTGATACCCATGCTCTCAGGGTGGCGCCGCATCCTCCTTATCTCGTCGACCATAGTGTCGAGCCCCACACTGATGAGTGAGAAGATTATTCGCTGGTCATGCTCCTGAAAGAAAAAACAAGAATGCTCTTTTTAACATCTATGTTACAAGGAAAATTATAAACTTACAGATTTTATAACATTATTTTATCAGTCTCAGTCACTGTATTAGCGAAAGTGTCGATGTACTATTGTCGGTTACAACCTAAGAAAAAGTAGGCCCTACCCTCAGAATTGCCCTTCGTTTGCGAAAGACAGACCATTAATGGTGCTAGCTGCTTTTGGCTCAGACCGCAAGCATTTTTTCTAATCTAATGTAAAGGCTATGAACATTAAAGGTAAAGGTCTGTCGTTGACAAAATAATAGGGAACTCCCTCAGACTCTCTCGAGAAGTATATCTTGCACATTGGACTCATTCAGACTGGGACTCTCCAAAATTTCTCAAGCCGAACTCACTTGAACTCATACTCATGAAAATTTTATCAGCTGGGTTCACTAAGACTCAAACTCACCAGAATATTACTCAACCGTACTCAGTTTCAGATTTATGCCTCCATTTGAGTATGAGTAAGTCAGAGTGAGTCGATTCATGGGTGAGTTCGTCGACCTGTGATCGTTACTGCCTAAAATGTTGAGTTTGCCTGATTGATTGATTTGTGGGGATGTTGAGTTTGCCTAAGCAGCAATGCCAGAATCTCCGACGAATTTTTCTAAGGTGCTCGTGTTTCCCACCTACAGCAAACAATATGAATATTTATCTGTATAAAAAAGTCTCAAACATGAAACACCCGCGAAGTAGTTGACGTCACAAAATAGAGTGATCGCTTTTGGATAGAGCATTTAGTCCAATCCACTGCAGAAGCTGAAATCCTTTTTTTTTTTCAGGTTGTAACTCACTATATATACTATAATAAACATTGTATTACCTTTGCAACAGTGCAAAATAAAGCCAACAGACCCACCACAATGACCTGGTGGTCATTGCAGTCAACTTCTGACTGATATGGCCGCAGGATCAAATCCCAATCATATTCGACACATATTCGACGAAGGCGAAAATGCTTGAGGCTCGTGTATTTAGGTTCAGGTTCATGTCAAAGAACTTCAGGTGGTCTAAATTATCAGAGCCCTCCACTACAGCGTCCTTAATTCATGTTACGGTTTTTAGACGTTAAATTTCAAATATCATTAGAGCTGTGCAAATCCCTTTAGCAGTGTGCTTCAACAATGGAAACTTGGCACTTTTCTGGCAATGCTTGCATATACCTGTTGATTAAATGGCTTGAAAGAAATTCAAGTAATCCGTCAAGTCTAAATCGATGAAGTCAAGTAATTCTACAATGCACTCATGTAGATCAACTGACTAATCAACTTGCAAGTTCATCAGCACACTGATTGGAATAAATGCATATTTAAAGCCAAATACAGCAATACAGCTGTTGACGCATTTGTTCCAATCATAACTTGAGCCATGTTGGCAAGGTAGATCATGTTACATAATAAAAATTTGGTTCGTGTGATTAGTGAAATACAAGTATAAGTGCTGATAATACTACCAACACCAACTGTGAAAGAATATTTTTGGAACCCTGTTACCTAAAATAATAATAAAATGCAGCGATACATGCTAGGTTGATTGACGATGAGGCCATGCTTTAATTTTATCATTTACACATTCGCCCTCTAGTAGTTAGTAATTAGCTATCTGAACATAACCATTTGTCATTAATCTTTGTAATGTTCTCGATATGTATGTCGTGACTGATATTCAAAAAAAAATTTTGCCCTCTTATAAGGGCAATACTGAATTGAGCTATTCAAATCTGAGAATTTAAGAACAGCACGCAAGCAACTGTAATGTAACAAAAACAAACCTTATCTCACAAGAAATGTGGGAAGAAAAAAAAACCTCTGTTAAGCTTAAATTTTTTGCACAGTTAGTTTATATTTTTCATCACAGTTGAATAAGTGGAAGATTAACATTTAATCCAAACATGCTTTTCTTGTTTTGAAAATTTCAGATGGCAAAGTAAAACGGCCACTCAGATGAAAATGTTGTACTTGCATCCAAAGAGCTTCTAAATATACGAGAGAGAAAAAAGAGGATGCAGTGGTAGCAATCAGTGCAACTGGTTTATGAAATACAATTGTGACAGGTTTTGATATGTTACTATATTTAGACAAAACAATTATGCAAGTTGGAGAAACAGAGTAGTTGGGACATATTGCTAAAATGTTCTAAAGAAGACAGTCCTCTAAATGACCGTTAAAAAATAAATATTTAAAAGGCAGCATTGGCGATAATCGCATGTCAAGAATATACTCATTAAAAAATAACGAAATATTTAAAAGGCAGCATTGGCGATAATCCCATGTCAAGAATATACTCATCAGTAAAATTCAGTTGAAGCTAGGTGCAGCTTGCGAGTTGCAACAAAGCTGATTAAATATGTGAAAATGAAATTAACATAAAAACATGGTGCTGTGTTTATGACCACACAATTACTCGAAGTTATACTCAATCTAATGTGGTCGAAGTTTCTCACTACTTGGTTTATTATGCCATTTTTTGTGTGATGTAAAATATAAGTGTGTGGGGTGAGAGAGGTTAGGGGAAGAAGAAGAGAAAAAGAACACTGTATCTGTTTTCTGTTACCGGTTGTGTATGATATGCGTGTACATTAAGTGTTACGTATGCACAGGCTCTTTTTTTTTTTGTGGGGAGGTTGATCGCTTGACATTGCTGCATATGTACTTTAGTCTATACAATGACTTTCTTAGTACGTGGCAGGGAAGCTTAGCAGCTGTAGTGCTGCACTGCTCAGCTTAATAGCGTAGCTTCAATACCAGGCCAGAGTGTCTTCAGTTTCAGAGAGGCAAATGCAAAAGCATTTGTGCACCAAGTTTTCGGGACATGTTAGTTCAAAGCTATCATCTACGTGTGCCTCAGTGACACAGTAGTCTTGGCAGGTAAAGAGGCAGAATCTAATTTTTATAGCTGCAATATGGTGGCAATGTTGCATACCGCCAATGCTGCTTAAAAAGAAGATGCGATTCGGAAAATGGAAGTTTTTTTCCAAAATTACATATTTTTTTGCTTGTATGTGTTTTCACAAGTTTGGTTTCTCCACTTTCACAAAGATAAAATTGAAGACTGAAATTGAAATCGATGTAGGTTGAAATTGCCTCTAAAGAGAACAAGGTGGCCACTAAAAACTAGCAAGAGCTCTTTTTCTAAGAGTCTCTTGAAAATTGTCACCTAGCTGCTTGCGATTGTGTTTGGCATGAGGAGTTCCCTAAATTTACATTCCCAAATTAACGATAATTGCAAAGCTCTCATAATAGGATAACACATTAAAAAAACATATTTTTCATGTAGATGAGCTTTGACTTGTACCTTTAGAATGCCTTTTTCTAATTATCCATTTTCGGGCTACTCCTTGAGTTTTGACACTATGTTTTTGGTACTTCTGATAGTCCGATCAGGATGAAATTTTTCCCAGATATTTCAAACATCTAGAGGGTGCAAGTATCTCCATTAAAACTGTGTATCGCCTGTATAATTACCATGAATCTAAAGCAAGTGGCTGAAAAGTCCAAGAAATCTCACAATAAAGTTTTTCTTTTCATTAAAATGCCATTGAACCACTTCCTTGTAAGTATTTGCATTCTATAGTTAATGTGGAGCAACGTAAGCCATTAATGGCTGAGAACTGTAAAAGCTTAGTGGCAACAAATGTTTGTCCAAAATGAACTCCATTTTGCGCATTCTCATTGCGCAAAATGAAAACTGTCAAATTACTTTAAAACTAACCACATAATTAAAATTGGCACAAAAGCCTAGATGTACAGCAAAAAATTATTGGCCTAGGCTACAGATTAATGACACTTTTTTTTAGATCAGTTCTCCCCTTCATTCTTCGTAAGGTTGGCACATTAGATGAGGTGCTTTTAATCAATCTTTTATTGGAATAAAGATTATATGTACATTATCGGTGGGTTTTTGTCGTCCCCATCAAGTTACGTATAAGATCCAAATCAATAGCACTGTTTGGCATGTTGTATGACTTACGTTTCAATGGATGCTTGTAAATGCTGCAAAAGGGCAGCACTACAGCACAGACGAAACAGTTTCGCATGCCTCGTCAAGTGAAGGAGCTAATGCTACGACACTCACACAGCAGCTATGAACTTTGATCAGAAGGCCGTGGTCATATGCATATCATCTCAGACATCAGCAGATGGCTTCTATGTCTGTACGTGCTGGCATATTCCTTTATACCGCCATTTTTGTAGTTATGCCAGATCAGACTATAAAGGAATTAACTGCTAGCCTTACTTTGTTTAACATCTTTGTTAATTGCTATCACATTCATTGCTCTGCCCTTGTGGGGAAACTGAACTCAATATTGTATGATGTTTTTTGTATTGTCAAGTTTCTCAATGGATAGCTGATGCAGTACTAGCACAGAATCAAGCCGGTGAAACTTGTGATCAACAGCGAAATTCTCCTAGCCACAGGCTTATTTTATTGCATGCGATTTTTTTTTTCATTACTAACCTACAGCTTTGTCACACGCTTTTTCTGACCGAATCTTCGGGGGGAACGGGTCTCAAGTCTTCAGTGGAGGCACCACGACTGTCAGAGCTTCTGGTGAGAAAAAAACGGGAAGCTCATCAGACACTTAAGAAGGGTTTGTATGTAAGCTCGTTTGAATAAAGCAATCATAAAGAAAAACAGCACAGCTTGAAAACATGGACAAGAACAGCGTATACCTTTCCTCTTGTGTTCTTGTCAGTGTTTTTAAACAGTGCTGTTTTTCGTTATTATCAGTGACACGGGCAGAACACTGGCCGATTTCCTATAAACCACATCATCGGGGTGTCTGTGTGTGTTTGTGCAATCACCGTTTTCAAAAATCTTAGGTGACATGTGGTGTACATCTTTTCACTTAGCAGCTAGATTTCTCAAAAAAAAAAGGTCTCAGTTGAAAAACTTTCAACAATCAAGCCTGTTATGAGTTATGTACTTACCACACATATCATAACACACAAAAATGAATCCGAGATTTTGACAGTGCCCATGCACTTCAGTCCAGTGTCAATGATAATGCCAGTTTTTTAGATAACCTCTGTCCATCGTGGTACAAATGTTTAGTTGTAGTGCTTTTTAATTCAATAAAATGTTTTTATATGCTGAAGCCTGAGAGATACAGGAATACTAATGAATTTTTGTCAATCTTTGGTACTGCATTATCTTAAGACCCATTACACACAGAAATTAAGCCGAGAAATTTACCGTGCCCATGCGCTTCAATTCAATGTCAAAGCTAACACCAGTTTTTGAGGTAAGCTCTATCTAACGTGGTAAACATGTTATTTGTTGTGCTTTTTATTTCAACAAAACAATTTTATACACTGAAGCTGGAAAGATACAGGAAAAGCAATGTATTTTGTGTCAATTTTCAGTATTGCATTACCTTCAGACCAGTGTAGGCAAGCATTCTTATAAGATATTCTTTTTAAAGGGGTCCTGCCACACTTTTTGAGCAGAGTTGGAAAAGCCTGCCGATCGGTTGTCAAAGCTCAAGAGAACATGTGAACCAAACATTATGGGCCGTCGCGCGGTCTGGAAATAATTTTGAAAATCGCCAAAAGCTTTTCCCACTTCTATCAACATATGATGCCATAACTCAAGATGATCGCATCATAAACACAATGTCCATGGCCATTGGCCGACTTGAGCATCATGCGCCGCATAGTTACTGCGGCTGCTGCTGAATGCCGTCACATGTCAATGCTGCTCTCTATGCTACTGTCAATGCTCATAAAATATCATTACACCACCGCATTCACGGTCAGTAAGCCATGTGTTGAAGTAAAAAAAACTCAAGGTCATGAGATGAACAGTCATAGCTTCTTGCCTTCTTGTCACACCCCACTGGGTAGCTCTCAGAACGCTCACTGGTATGAAAGGATAGAGAAAGTGCTCAATGTGTGCAACACACTCAAACCTCATTATAACAAAGTTCCATCATATACGAAAATAGGTTCGTTATATCCAAAAATTTGTAGTAAAGGCATATTCTTAACACTGTCTATTGCAAAACTATTCTCATATAACTTTGCTAGAACTAATATTTTGTTGTATTTGTGTTCAATATATCGAGGTTTGAGTGTAACTCCGCTTGCACTTGAAGGATTCGAAAAATTCTCTGACAGTTGAATTGTGCCACAATAGACTCCTCGCATAAAGTCAAGCACTGATCACTTCTAAAAGTGCTGAAGGGCCCCTCTAATCTCACCGGCACAACACAGCATACGATATTCATGCTGCACAGAAGGCTCACCTCATGTTGACTGCTTCATGAAATCGTTCATGTCACCCAACAATTCCCGCATCACTGACTGAACTACCTCGTGGACAACGACCCTCAGGCACTTCCGAACAATTTCTACAAGTTTTTCCTGCAAGAAGAAAACAAACTATTAACGCTTGCTTTTAGCAGACTCATTTCTAGAATGAATAAGAAAATGAAATGGATCGAGCGGCCAGTTTTATCAATTGACGCTGCCTTGGTGTAGCCTGTGCCATTGTCGTTTTCATCGAAACAGTAGAAGCAGTAGAAGTAGCAGTAGTAGTAGTATTAGTTGTAGTGGCCTTTAGTAAAGGATGTAGTAGTTATAGTAGTCACGCAGGATCCATGACCACGGCGGAATAGAACAAACAAATAAATAAAACTAAATGATGATTAAGATTGCAGTAATTATTTTGACATAAAATATGAGCACAGCACTTCACACATTTATTAACTACGATACGAACCTTATACTAGTTGTAATAAACTAAAGCAAGGTAATCTGCACTTTCTATAATTAAAGAGATTTATTTTAATAGTAGTAAACCAAGACACGGCTCCTGGGTACACAACAATGTCATCTCATCTAGTAGGTGTTTGCTGAAACACCACTGTCTAGTGGCCAGGCCATTCAATCTCACAAAAAATTGTGCGATTTCACTTCTCCCAATCAATTTAAGTGTGCATATTTCAAACCTAGCAGTGCATTTATGACAGCAAAGCATAACAAGCAATATTTGAAGCTTTTAATATAGGTTCAGTAACTAAAAATAAACTCTCCGTATGGCGGGAACATAGCTCACAACCTTTGAATTACACTTCTGATGCTCTACCAACAGTCATGCAGTAGCTCATTTGTTCGACAGCCACACAAGATCATTGATTGCTTTATAAGATTACGATAAAAAGATGAAAAAAATCTTAATTATATAGATTTAGTGTCAAAAATTCACCCTTCCCAATAAATTGCATCATCCCAGTTAATGTTTCTGAAAACTCGCTTCGTTTGGAAGCCGTCAGTTTTACTACTCACTTCAAGTTCCTGTTGATCTTCACCAACTCCTAAGAAATAGGGGAGAAACTTTAGTCAGTGATAACTGTCAATGCAGAGTGATTGAAACGAATGCAACATGACATATTTTGGTTTTCTGATGCGTACGTAGTAGATTTTCAAATGCGAACAAACAGCATCAGAGGAGCAGCCCAACTTCAAAAAACGTGAGAAAGCATGTTGCATCCACACAACTTTTAAGCAAGGCAGAGATATTGAGACTGATAAAATATAATGTAACTTTAAGAATCAGTGGTAACTGAAGAGTTGCGAATAGCAAACATGAGGCTTAAATCAGACTAAACAGTGGTTTGGTCATTAGTTTTAGAAAAGTGAGTATTCCTTATGATATAACTAAGAGTATATTTGTCATAACCCAAATGACCTGCTCAATAATAGAAAAATAGAACGAAAATGACTTCTTCTTTATGCATTTTTCTTAACAGCACAGCAAAAATATAATGTAGCTACTGCGCTACAGTTCCGAGTGAAACGGCCCACATGCTTTGCCTTTTCAAGACACTCAAACCTCGATATAACAAATGTGGATAACATAAAATATTGGTTATAACGAAATAAACAAAAAATTGTCTCTCAAGTATATAGCGTTAGAAAAAACCTTCATTACGAACTTTTTGAATATGACAAACTTATTTTCACGTAAGATGCAACTTTGTTACAATGAGGTCTGGATGTACTAACCTTTCTCGGTGGCACACGATTCTACCACCTCAAAGCATGGCTGCTCTGGCTTGATAGTTTTTGAAGAATTGTCCACGGATAAAACATTTGAGTCGTAACTGTAAGTGAGCAGACAAAATCGCATCAGCTGCTGCCGGCACACTCAGTGAATGGACGAAAACTTCTTTAAATGACATTCTTCGTAAGTATACCTGCTTTTATTACAATTGGTTTTCTTCTTGAATTCTGTGCCTCTGTTCTTTCCTCAGTAAATGAAACTGCTGTTAAATGCAAGATACTGTCCTGGTCTCTTCAGGTTTCAATCACTAATAATCTACAGTAGCTGGAGCACAGCAAAGACATACGGACTCTCAGAGACTCTATCGCTGTTAAATTTGCTCGTTCTGACAATTCCATGCGTCGTAAACACCAAATACCCAGTTGCAGAATTCGGGTACTCTAGCTCACTTTATTTTTGGCTGTGATTACTGCAATGTCACCCAATTATACGAAGCCACACATTAACAGACAAAATTACCAGTTAGACAAAACAGGCAGTCAGTCATGGCGCAGGAAACTTGAAGGTGATTTCACAGTTTTTCACGATCAGAAGAATCGCTTATTTCGGAGAGTACGCCCACACAATATGTTGTGTTGCCGCTTGGAGCATTCTAGGTCATGGTATTTCTGGCATTAGGTTTGGTGAGCAGACATGATTGCATTTTCAGGCCTTGCTCGGTTTTAGTGTCATAATTTTTTACCGAATTTTTTAATGCATTTTGCTTGAGTGTCTAATGTAAGCTTCTTATGGAGCCTGTTATATCTTGTACATCTGACCTCTAGTAGCATGTCGACCCCGTCCCTCAGCATCCCAAACAATAAAAATGTTTTGAATCAATGAAGTTTCAATGTTTCATCGGCAGCCGCAAAAGGGGTCCTGAACCACTTTTCTATGTGATAATGAAGTGTCCTCTGTATCAAAGTACACAAATGTATCGCTCCCCTGAAACACTTGCTCTCCTCTCATTCCGACAAACAGGCTGCAATCCCCACAGGAAAGGATAGCACAAGTGGCATCAGTGCACTTCACGGCCTTGGGCGAATGTGATGAAACACGATTGTTCCTTCTCATTGTGATTGTTGTGTGCAAGTGTGATGTACAGTGAGAGGTTTGCGGACTATGGAGTGCAGCGAAAATACGTAGAGGCACCCATTGGTAATAAGTTTCCTATTTACGATTTCAAGCCCTGCTTTAAAGTTATGTGGATTATTGGCCAATAGCACCCTGTCCGTATTTTTACATGGAGCAGCGAACCCCGGACACTATAACGAGAGTGAGCACAAACATCTATATGAAAAGAGAATGCCCGAGAAAATGGTAACTTCGCGTGTTGCTTCTAATCTCTACTTCCAGCACACGACTGCGATATGGCTCTGCACATCATAGCAGCATCTGCTTTCTGCGGGTTCATGACCCCTCTAAGATGCCATGATAAAAAAGGGAGCACCTCTGGCACTCACCTCTGAATGTTGGTGACTGGTGCTGGTGCCTCACACCTTACTTGTGTTTATTGTTTATTGTTTAGTTACTTGTGTTTATTGGTTTCCTCACAAAGGACATAACCATCTTCAACTGTGAAATGATTTCCAAGGAACCGACATGCACTTTCTAGTGTTTGTACTCAGTAACAGTGCCATATTAGGAAAGAGAGGGGTTTGGCAGGGTCAGACCCCTCTAGTCCCCCCCCCCCCAAATTTTTAATGCACTAACTTTTCGGTTAATGCTAAAATCTATACATGCCTGTAAGGAGACCAGTAGATGTCAAAGATGGACTTTCTACATCTCTACCTCCTTCTGCCACAAGGAAAATAAGTTTCAAATCAGGACAGGCCTGTCAACCTCAAAAAAAAATCCAGTTTTGCACTGAGCCATCATTGTACCTTCCCAAAAAGAGTTTTAATAAATGCTCCATTCATTTGCACTTGCTAACTTTGTGCCATTAAGCAATTCCCAAGCATTTCCGATAGTTGCCTTTTCTGTTAAGACCCACACTTGCATGGCTGCTTTTGTGTAAGTAATTTGAACATCCTGTAAATTTTGTCAAGGATACTGACCTTGCTGCTGAACTAGTAATGTCGAGGGTAGCAACGACGAACATTTAATAATTCTTGATATGCATAGAATTTACATTATCCGTGAAGAAATAGTTGCAGTTCGGGCAAAAACCAGCAAGCACGACTGTTTTTTACAAGTAAAAAGGAGGTGAATCAAGGCCCTGTGGGCACAGCCAACATTTTTTTCTTAGGGTGTGACCAAGGAGGTTTAACGAAAATGCTGCAGCTGGAGCTCGCACATCACCTTACCAGCTGAAGTAAAGCCAGCTGTTACCCATCTTTTATCGAGGAAACATGCCCTTTTTGGGTGGTGCCCATTTAATGGTAAAGTTATATCACTCTGTTAATCTAAGAGATGAGTTAATTCTAAAATAAAATAACATTGTTCGCAGCGAAAGTGATGCATCGAGAAGAGTATGGATGACCTTATGTGAAAAAAAATTGCCAAGACTTTCAAGGTTTTTTTAAGGAAGCCGGTTGCACAAAGATGTATATCGCTGTAGTATTTTTGTAGAAGTATTTGTCTTAGTAAAGTATTTTGCCATAAAATGAGAACGTTAAGAGCCCCTACAATATAAGAGCTGTGCCCTGCATCCTTGAGCGGGTTCAGTTTCACTCTTGAAGCTCAAACTTTTTTTAGTAGTAGTTCTTTTTGTACCTCTTTCAAGAAAACAAAGCAATACTCTAAGCTGGACAATTTGATTTCATTATCAATTGGGTGAAATGCTAGTTTTGTAGAGGTGCAGACTCACGGTGGCTGGTAATGATTCGCAGGAAGAGGGCGTTCATCGGCTGTAGTGGTGGTCTCGGGCTCAATGGACGAAAGACCACCACTGCATGCAGTTTCCAAGCTTAGAGGCACTACAGCAGGCTTCTGTATAACGCTGCGACATTCGGCAACTTGCGTATCACTCTTCCTCTCAGTGGTCAGAGACGTGTTGCAGGAGTTCATTTCGTAGTGCCTCTTGACTCGTCCGGATCTGTAGGTAGATAATTTTTAGTTGTGAATTGCTGCATACGCAAAAAAGTCCACAATAGCACAAATTCGAATGGGATGTGAACGCAAAAGGAATTTCTCAGGGGCATACACTCTTAAGCATTGCTTCGTGAAAGCGAAGTGTGCACTTTTGCTTGCAGAGCTGTTAAACAGCGAAACCGTCACAGCAGACAACAAACAATGGGTGTGGTTTGCGGTGATCTATTTTGCCGTGTAATACCATGAAAACCGGCAGGATTCTGCCTTGCGGAAGGGGGAATCCGTTGTTGCATCTCAGTTGGTTGAGGGAGGGAATGCTGATTTATCTCTGGTGGGGGACAGTGTTGGTGTGGCTTGAGCGGGGTACATAGTGCCCCTTTTCCCTCAGCCGACACCCATGGTGTGAAGTTGTTAAAGAACTTTTCAGAGATGGTTATTCATGCACCGCCATATCCCTCTCTCGGTTGGTGTGACCCCTCAAAAAAGCACTGCCGAGGCTGTAATATCAGCCATTATACTTCGCATCGTGGCATGGCAGCGTTTATGCACAATATAGATAAATAGTGAAAATATTGTGCCAGTTTACGATCCCAGCATGATTTCAAAATTTTTTCCAGCAAGAAACTCACTTATGTAGTTATGACTACTTGATGTCACAGAGGTAATGTCGCTACTAGAGCACCGGCAACAACCAACTCTCTTTGTCGGCTCGATTTTACATTTGTGCATCAATAAGCAGTTGAAGCCATGGAGGACGAGACAATTCACAGTCCCTTGACTAACAGTATAAGTGCCGAGAGTGCAGATAGGTGTACGTGCACTTATGGTCGATCCACTATATTCAAGAATTGCCAAGCACCACCAGTGGCGTACCCAGAATTTTTTTCAGGATAGGGGGAGGCAATTACATACTTCATCTTTTTGCGTGTATTTGTATGTATGCATTTATATATACTTTAGCAAAATTTAAATATTATAAAGAGCCGGAGCCGCCCCCCCCCCCCCACCACCACCACTGCATGGCTCCCTGTCCACCTCCGTAACGCCAAATTTCTGTTCCTCAGCTCACCTTTATGACCACACGACGACGTAATATATTGATCACGTGATTTTTTAAACCATGCATATTCATGCTCATGACTAGAGTCTCAACTCATAATGCCGGCCGACTTCTACTCGCGGGTCTTTAGCCTTGAAATTTCACACAATCAGCATTGAAAGCGAAAGCTCCGCGGCGCCTTTTTCTCGAAAGCTAGGCTTAACATTGCGTTGTGACGGGGTCACTCTATCACGATAGGACTCATCCGAATTTCTTTATCGTACTTGCTTGGCTCCCTTACTCAGTCTTCCAAAAGGAAGCCAATGAACAGGTTGATAAATCCTAACCCTATCGGGCTTGATCGCGAACAGTAGCTCACCGTACCTGACGCCTATCCTTTGGGATCTCAACGTTCTGGCCAAGTATATGTTCGTGCGTCTCTGCCAGTTGCATCTGCCAAAGCTTTCGCGTAAACTGTGAACGCGCGCAATATTTCTAGGTAGCCTCAATCCCAGTGTTTGCCCCCCACGATCCTCAATGGATCCATCTGTCAGCGTGCATGATCCCGCGTCTCGGCAAACGTCGTCGTCGAAGCGTTCGGTATTTCGCATCACATTATCTGGCGCAAAGCCTTCGACTAGGCGAAGTGGGGATCGGCATGGCCTTCCTGCCGGCCTGATACCGCGGAGGCCATGGTGGAGAAAAAAAAATCGTTTCTCGAAGTCTCACCTGAATACGAATCGTCGCCCAGCTGGCGAAACTGGTCTGGCTATACGCTGAAAAGTGACCAAAGCCGCTGGAGCACCTAGGAAGCTTGCCACGTCACTACGAACGTTCGCACAACGCAACGGTCACAATGGCTCCTCGATGTTGTTCACGAGACCTCTGTGTGCGCACGTTCTCGAGGTGCTAATATCGAATACGTAACTGAGGCAAAGGGGGTGCATTTAGTATGGATAAATGAATGAATTTATATTGCGACGTGAGGTACTTGGCTGGATTTGCGGAAGCACAGCCGTTTGAGGTTTCAGCAGCGGAGTTTGTAACCTATTTTCGTTTTGCTGTGTGATGATGATGATGATCCTTGTGATTTTGGCGCACATCCACAAAGGGGGGTCGGCCAAAAGCCGGGCGGCAGGATCTTTAAGTAAAAGGCCTATGGTTTTACAAACACAACGTAATTTTGGGCTGGAATATATATATATATATATATATATTGTAAGCACATTCCAAGCATTTGATCGTTCTCACTTGCACATACCCATCATCATCGTTCTCACTTGCACATACCCATCATCATCGTTCTCTCTCTTGGTGTGGTTCTGAGCCGAGCCAGACATCGCAGAATAAACGCTTCTGCTCGCCCTGCCTGCTCGCCGTACCTAGTCTGCCTGCGTCTTTCAGAGTGGTGGAAGTGCCGGGGTAAGATCCCGACGTCCTCCTACGTTCATTTCCCACCTGGAGCTCCGATCTGGTCGCCGATTGCACCCAGCCACCCACACAGGTATGCAGACATCGGACCTAACGCCTAGCCCTAACGCTACAGCCCCTACGCCGGCGGCTGCCCGCTCTTCATCTACTGTCACCAGCCCTCAGCGCGAACCGCCCGTGTTCGCGGGTCTTCGCGGTGACGACGTCGAGGAATGGCTTGACCTTTACAACCGTGTGGGTTCAGCCAATCGATGGACCGAAGCAGAGAAACTGAGCTACCTTCCTTTCTATTTGACCAGCGTAGCCAAAACCTGGTATTTTAATCACGAAACTGACTTCGTTGATTGGTCGACCTTTGCCAACAAACTGCGACAAATATTCGGATGCTCATCGGGTCGTTCCGAAGCCGCGAAACAGAAGCTGGCTGTGCGTCTACAACTGGCACATGAGTCGTACACTTCGTATATCGAGGATGTTTTGGCCCTCTGTCGCCGTGCGAATAAAGACATGACGGAAGATGAGCGCGTTCGCCACATCCTTAAAGGAATCGGCCCAATCGCATTCAACGCCTTGGCTGTTGGCAATCCCGCTACGGTTAACGACGTCATTTCGACATGCCAACGCCTTGACCAGTTGCAGTCCCTTCGGCTTCAACAAGACAGTGATCCACGCCTGATGCCTCCCTCTGAATTAAAAACCCTTATCCGCACAATTATCCGGGAAGAACTTCGAGACCTTGAACAGCAGCGGTCCACTGTCGCCTCCGCTCCGTCTCCACCATTCGACCTGCGGAATCTTGTTAAGCAGGAGTTAGCGGCAATGGCGACACCGACATCCCCGGTCGCTCCGCCAGCACGCCCGATGCCCACATACGCCGATGTGACGCCCAGGTCGACACCGGCAGCACCGGTTGTTCAAACGGTAATGCCCACATATGCGGAGATCGCTGCGATTCCGCCTGCTCCCGGGGCATCTAGCTCTACGGATACTGCTAGTAGCCATTTGGCTGCTATGCGAGGTGGAATGACTGCTGCACCCTTGTATCCTCAGTGGCGTCAATCCCGTCCTGTTTGCTTTTACTGCGGTATACGAGGCCACATTTCTCGTTACTGCCGTCGCCGCCAGCAAGAGGAACGACGAGGCTATGCTGAGTTCGAACGAGACCGGTTCCGAAGACCAGATCTTTATGCTCCAGACACCTACCCGTCCGCGCAGTACCGGTCTCCGTCTCCTCCAGTGTCCCCTCGTCAACATCAGGAATACCGCTCCTCCAGACGACGCTCTCCATCGCCCTATCGCCGCTCCGCATCGCCACTTCGTCCAATCATCTCCCGTCCTGTTGACCAATCTTCGGAAAACTAAGGATTGCAGTTTTTGGAGGGAAAACTGCGTCCCGTCGACCAACAAAAATACCTCCTGTTCGCCCAGCTAATATGTTGTCAGTGACTATTGAAGGTATTCCTGTGCAAGCTCTCGTTGACACCGGTGCAACCACTTCTGTTTTGCGTAGTGACTTGTGCTCGCGCCTCCGTAAAGTCAGAACGCCCTATGTGGGACCTGTGTTGCGTGGGGCAAATAACGTGCTGATTCAACCTGACGGACAGTGTACGGCTCGTGTTTCTATTGATGGTATACGTCACCACATCGAGATGATTGTGTTGCCCACGTGCATTCATGAACTTATCCTTGGTTGGGACTTTCTGCATTCTGCTTCCGCTGTTATATCCTTTAAAGAGAACGTCATTCACATAACGGATACAACGGATGCGCCCATTCCAGTTTCATCACCCTCGATCTCCAACTTGGTCATTGTTGAAGACTGCGTCCTGCACCCTGGTCACGAACACGTGATAGCTGTCGCATCTACCCAAGTAACCGACGGTGATGCACTTGTGGCTCCTTCGTTTCGCTGCACCTCCCGTGGAATTCTCGTCGCCTCTTGCCTCCTCCGGTTTTCCTCTGGCTGCGCTTTTCTGCCCGTTTCTAACACAACTGCAGAATCTGTGCTGCTGCCCAAGGGAATGACAGTGGCAAAGATTGACTTCTCTCCATTGACCTCCATCGCGACACTCTGCCCGTCTTCGTCACCAGTACCAGCTCCAGGTTCACGTTCTTTCCCTTTTCGACCTGTCATTGGTTCAGACCTCACACCAAAACAGTCTGAAGCACTATTGGCCCTTTTGGCTAAGCACAAAGCCTGCTTTGATAGCTGTACCACAACACTGAGTCAGACTTCCGCGGCTGTACATCGCATTGAAACCGACGGTTCTCGTGTGATACGCCGTCGCCCATATCGGGTTTCGCAATCAGAGAGAGAAATAATTGAAAAAGAAGTGAACGAGATGCTATCGCGAAATATAATACGACCTTCTTCGAGTTCCTGGGCATCTCCAGTCGTTTTAGTTAAAAAGAAGGATGGCTCTGTTCGTTTTTGCATTGACTACCGCGCGTTAAATAAGATCACACGCAAGGACGTATATCCTATGCCTAGAATTGATGACGCTTTAGACACACTGCAAGGGGCGAACTATTTTTCGAGCCTTGACTTACGATCAGGTTACTGGCAAATCCCCATGAACGAGGCTGACAAAGAAAAAACTGCATTTGCCACACCGGACGGCCTTTATGAATTTAATGTAATGCCATTCGGCTTGTGCAACGCTCCAGCCACGTTTGAGCGAATGATTGATACTGTTCTTCGTGGCCTAAAATGGAAGACCTGCCTCTGTTACTTAGATGATATCGTTGTTTTTTCAAGTACCTTTGCCCAACATCTTCAACGATTAGACGAGGTGCTACAATGTCTCTCCAAGGCTGGCCTTCAGATAAATACAAAGAAGTGTACATTTGCCAGCAAAAGCATCAAAGTCCTCGGTCACGTCGTTTCCAAAGACGGAATCCAACCAGATCCCGAGAAGATCGCAGCTGTGCTACAGTTCCCTCGACCGTCCAACCAAAAGACGTTGCGCAGCTTTCTTGGTCTCGCGTCCTATTTTCGTCGCTTTATACGCAACTTTGCTACCTTAGCGGCTCCGCTAAATAAGTTATTGGCCACTGGTGCTCCTTTCTCATGGTCCAACGACTGCGAATCTGCATTTGAAATTTTGAAAGAACGCCTGACTTCCGGACCAGTGCTGCGCCACTTCGATGAGAGAGCGCCTACCATACTCCATACTGACGCAAGCGCACAAGGCATTGGAGCAGTCCTTCTGCAGCGTGATTCCACCTCTAAAGAGCAGGTTGTGGCCTACGCTAGCCGGACTCTGTCAACAGCTGAGCGGAATTACACCATCACGGAGCAGGAGTGCTTGGCTATCGTATGGTCGATACAGAAATTCCGCCCGTATCTCTACGGTCGGCACTTCACCATCATCACCGACCACCACGCACTCTGTTGGCTTTCATCAATGAAGAATATGTCAGGACGTCTTGCGCGCTGGATACTGCGCTTACAAGAGTACGACTTTACAGTTACGTACAAGTCTGGCAAATGTCATCATGATGCCGACGCGCTGTCCCGGTGCCCACTTTCGCTCTCTCGTGACAATACGTCCACCGCATCGCGTTCGAATGACTCTGACACCCAGCTTGCCTCACAACACGTATCGCTCGCATCGCTGGATCCAATGCAGCTATCTTCGAACTCCGATTTACGTTCACTTCAGCTGGCAGATTCCTACTGTCGGTCTTTCATTGATCGCCTTCGCGGTGTCACTAAACCACCCAACAGCCGCTTGCGACGCCAGCTTCGACAATTTCGCCTTCAGGACGGTGTGCTTAAGCGCTACATTTACCATCCCACCGGTAACAAGTGGGTGCCAGTTCTTCCCCGCTGCCTTCGTCTTCGAGTTTTGGAAGCATTCCACGATGATATTGCTGCCGGTCATCTAGGCTTCCACAAGACCTACGATCGCATCAAGACGCGCTGCTTCTGGCCTGGCTTGTCCACAACGGTGGCCAAATACGTGGGCTCGTGCGCGTTGTGTCAGCACCGCAAGCGATCCACATCCCCGCCTGCTGGTTTCCTTCAGCCTCTTCCCTGTCCCACCACACCATTCGAATTTGTCGGAATAGACTTGTATGGTCCTTTGCCGTTGACACCTTCCGGTCACCGTTGGATCGTCACTGCAGTCGACCATCAAACAAGATACGCCGAGACTTCACCTCTTCATTCTGCTACCGCCACAGAAATCGCCAATTTTTTCTTGAACTCCATCGTCTTGCGCCACGGAGCCCCTCGCGTCCTTTTGAGTGACCGTGGCAAAGCCTTCCTTTCCAAGGTCCTGGATGAAGTCCTGCAGGCGTGCAATACAGTGCATAAAACCACTTCTACATACCATCCGCAAACGAATGGCCTTACCGAGCGCTTCCACCGAACACTCTCTGACATGATATCGATGTACTTGCATCCTGACCACAAAAATTGGGAT